AATTCTAGGTTGCGTTGAATCATAATTAAAATAATTAAATCTAGATTGTAGGGTCCATTGAATCATAGTCCAAATAATTTACCCAAGAGTTCAACATAACTATTTCACGCAAATCATATTGCTCATGCTGGTATCTTCCTTTGAATCTTCTCCTTCTACTTACAGTAAATTAATATTTTTTGATGTGCCCTTCTGCAGCCTCTAACATGTTTCGCGGAGGTTCTATATAAGTAACTAGAATGCTTTTGAGAACTCATCAAACATTACCAAAAACACCATAGTTACATGACTACGATATTTCCCTGATACACTCTCTCATTTTGGTTTACCTTCATCTTTGATTTTATTTTCATCACTTTCAAAATGAAGATTTTGGGTGCAAGGTCCCTTCATCTTGTCTATGTACTCCTTATTTTACTGCGTATGCAAACTTCAGTTGGATCCAATTCAACAATAGCTGATGATGGAGTTAAGTGCATAGAGAGCGAAAGACAAGCTCTTCTTGCATTTAAGCAAGGTCTGGTTGATGAAAATGGATGGCTTTCCTCGTGGGGCGGTGAAGAAGAGAAAAAGAATTGCTGTGAATGGGAAGGAGTTCAATGTAGCAACGCAACTGGGCACATCACTATGCTTAATCTAACCACATATGTGTATGATCATGATTTTATCTTAAGAGGTAAACTTAGTCCTTCTCTGTTTGAGTTACAGCGTTTAATTTATTTAGACCTCAGTGGGAATAATTTCAACTTAAGCCACATTCCAGAGTCTATCAGTTCACTCAACAAAATACAACATCTTGACCTCAATAGTTGTAATTGAAGTGGATCTCTTCCTAGTCAGCTTGCAAACCTCACAAGTCTGCAATATCTTGATCTTGGCTATAACAACTTCAACAGTGTCAAAAATCTTGAGTGGCTCTCTCGTCTTTCTTACTTGCAATACCTTTATCTGAATGAAATCGACCTTAGTGAGATCAACAATGACTGGCTGCAAGTAATTAATAAGCTCCCTCATCTAACTAACCTGTCTCTAAATCGATGTAATCTTCGAGATGTCATTTCCCAGTTTTTCCCCATAATTAATTCTTCTAGTACTTCTCTCGTTCAACTTGGTCTAAGCGGCAACAATTTGACTGCTTCTGCATTTCAATGGTTGTTCAACTTTAGCAACAGACTTGTTAGTCTCGACTTGAGGTCTAATCAATTTCGAGGTCCAATTCCAGAAACTTTTAGTCACATGACTCTCCTAGAAAGCCTATATCTCTCATATAATCAGTTTGAAGGAGAGATTCCAAAATCCTTTTGGAGTGGTAACTTGTCATCATTGCGATACTTGGTTCTTTCAAGCAATAAACTGAGTGGTAATATACCCAAAACCATCGGATTGCTGTCAAAGCTTGAGGTCTTGTATATTTCTTGCAATTCTTTTAATGGGGTGATCACTGAGGAACACTTCTCAACGCAATCTAATTTATGGTACTTGGGCATGTCTTCTAATAATCTGAGCATCAACTTCAGCCGTGACTGGATTCCTCCATTCCAGTTGAAATATATTGGTCTAGGATCTTGCAAGTTAGGACCTGATTTTCCAAGCTGGTTACAGACCCAAAAGAACTATGTGGTTCTTAATATTTCTGCAAATGAAATTTCAGATAGCATCCCCATCTGGTTCAGTACCTTGCCTTCTACAGCACGAGCAATAGATCTTTCTTCCAACCAAATTAGTGGTATTCTTCCAGATTGGTCAAGGAATTTTTCATCTGATTCTTATGGCTTTGGGATAAATTTAAGTGG